GGGGGGGCTGAGGACCACGGGCAGAGCCGGTGCTGCAGGATGGAAACAGAACCTGCTCCCCAGGGGCTTGGAAGCCTCGGCGCTGGCACGCACACGCCTGTTCAGATCAAGACTGATCCATCTGGACCACTGCTCGACTCTGCGGCAGGGGACGGGAAGGAGAGCCACCTCCACAAAGCGCCTGCCACCCGGCCTGCACTCACTCTGCTCCGGGACAGCCTCCCTGAGCTGCCTGGGCTGACCTGCACCACACCCGCGGTGACGGCAGGACCCACCGTCCACTTTTGCATTCATCCTGTTGGCATCGATTCTGCTGCCCCACCCTCTCACCTCTCTGCACCAGGGGGTTCTGGCCTCTCTCCCCAGGCTCTTTTATCTGCAGCCAGCGTGGACAACCCACTCAGATGTCCCCACCACCGTCCTCTTTCCCAGGCTCCCCAGTCCCAGAGACAGGGCCAGCGCCAGGTGGACAGGGGCTGATCTGTGCAACAGCACACACTCTGGCCGTTCTTCAGGGCGTCTACTGCCCTGCCAACATCAACAGAAGGATATGAAATGCGACCTCTGGGCACACAACATCACCGTGACGACAAAGCACACATTGTCTATATGACGTAGAGGAAGGCTGATGAGATGGTGCTGAGACTAAATCTGAAGAACACACAGGAGCAGGCGGGGTGGAGAGCGGTGCTAGAGTGTGGGAGGTTCTGGGGTCCATCCCCAGCACCAAAATATAAAGGAGATCCAGGAACAAAGGCAAAGGAAAGCAACCTTCCCCCAGGGGCTGGATGGGGAGGGCTCTGTCACCCGGCAGGTGCCACACCACAGGAGGGTCACCAGGGGAAGAGGAGATCCCGTAGCCCAGGCTGGGCCTTGGAGCTCGGTGAGGGCTGCCAGCTCTGGGGTTAACCGGTGACCCAGGAAGTGGGAGAGTGGAAGACACAGGAGCCACGCAGATGAGAATCCACCACGCAGGGTCGCAGCTAAGGAAGAAACCACCTCCTACATCCAAACAGACGGGCTCCAGCTGCCGATGTTATGGGGGGGTGTCAGGACCCCATGTCCAAATGGGAACGGCCCCAGGGAACTCATGAAGGGGAGACACGGTCAACCACCAAGCACTATCCCCCTCCCTGTTCCTGTCCCCACAAGCTGACTCCACCTCCACCTCCAAGTATTCGGCGTCCTCCAGGCCCCCAGGTTCACGCAGCAAACCCTGCCTCCAGGTCCCGTGGGGGAGCAGGATTCTCGCCCTCTTGGGGGATTTGGCATTTGGGTGTAGAATACGTTTCCTTCTTTCCGACCTTCTTCTCTTTCGTACTGGGGGTTGAGTCCAGCACACTCTATCACTGAGCCACGCCCCCAGCCCTTTTGATTTTTCCTTTTGAGACAGGGTCTCACTAACTTGCCCAGGCTGACGGCAAACTTGCCATCCTCCTGCCTCAGTCTCCCAAGTTGGGCCACCAAGTCTGGCCAGAATATATTTTCTGTTTAAACGGCAAGAATGAAGCTCTGATTTTTTAATCTCAGCCACAAACCAGCTCATTAGAGGAGACTGGCTGGGGTTGGGCAGTGGAAGAGGCCACAGGCCTGGGCTCACTGCTCCCTCGGATTTCGACCCTCCCGCTCCTGGGTGTCCCCAGGGCCTGACTCCCTGCCTCGGAGCAGCCTCCAGAGGAAGCAGAGCCCTGCTGGATTTTGGACTTCTGGTCTCCAGAACTGTGAGAGAATAGATGTCTGTTGCTTTAAGATACCTACTTTGTGGTCATCTGTTACAGTGGCCACAGGAAATGAACACATTCCCCGAGTCATGAGCAAAGTCATTAGATACTGTAACCAGAGCAGGCCCGGGCGGGTGAGAAAGAGGCCTCCTGGCTGCCCGATCCCTGTTCCCGCCCTTCCTCAGAATGGGCTGTTACCCCCACACTGGGGTCTGTCAGCATCTTCCCATTCTTTTAAAAGATCCTCTCCTTGGATAAACGCACTGCCTGCTCCCAACCTCAGTCAGCTGAAATTCAACATCAAGGAAACACCACACCTAACATTAAACAAAAGCAAGGCATCAAAGCAGTGCTTTGTCTCCCAATGACCCATCTCTTACTCTGGAACCCGGGCAGGGGCAAGCCAGCCTCTGAGGTCCATGGAAACGGCTGGCACCTCATCACGACGCCAACCTAACTGGGGGTGGGGGCTTCGGACCCTACGTAATTCAGAAGCACAAATCAGAAGGAAGAAGAGATTTGCGGAAATCAGATTCACTGACAAGGTCAAGTGAGACAAATGAGAGGTCGACAGCAGAGGACGTGGTCCCTCACCCTGTGTCTGAGGCTGGGGCCTTCGCTGGTCTCACACGGCACAGAGGCGCCTGTTCCAATGAACAGCACTAACAGGTGAACTTGGGTTTAGTTTTATTTTTTATTTTTTTGCAGTACTAGGGATTGAATCCAGAGGCCCTTAGCCGCTGAGCCACATCCCAGCCCTTTTTATTTTTTTATTTTAAGACAGGGTCTCACTAAGTTGCTGAGGCTGGCCTCAAACTTGTGATCCTCCTGCCTCAGCCTTCTGAGCCACTGGGATTACAAGCATGCACCACGACACCTGGCCCTTTTTATTTTTTACTTTGAGACAGGTTAGCCTTGAACTTGTGATCCTCTGTGATGCCACCTGAGTGGCTGGATGACAGGCACAGTCACAGCACCTGACTATTTAGTCTGTTCTAAGAAGCAAGGGAAGCACCTAATATATTCTAGAAAGATTCCCAAGTCCAAGCGACACAATGACAAGTTCGGCAGCTGTCTAAAGACTCAGGGTTTCGTCTGTCCACCTGGCTGCCACCCTCAGGCAGCCTGGGCCCCAAACACAGCCACCTGTGGGAGGCCACAGCCTGCTCCCTGCCATCTTCCTGGCCAGGTGGGTCCACTGGTTGATGCTTCGTTCCCCCCTACTCCCCAGCATTCCTGTGCCCTCGGGTGGCCCCCCATGCCTTCACCCTCACATGCTGTCCCTCTGCCTGCCTGTCCTTGCTCCAGAGTGGTCCCCACAGCTACAGGGAGTAAAGCCACCCATGACATCAGGGACGTCCCTCTCCTCTCTGTTGACCTGCCCTGGACGCAGTGGGGACACGGGTCATGACTGTCAGTGCCCAGCGCAGCACCGCCACCACACAAAAGGAGCACATCACAGTGTGTCAGCCACAAGTGACCACAGACACACCATGACTGTGCTAAGCCTGGATGGCAGGTCATCACAGTCCCGGGGGAGCAAGGGAGGTGTCAGAAACCTGCCACCATCCTGACCTTCTCTGCAGGTTGAAAGTCCTCGGCATGAAAATAAGTCGCAAGGACAAAAAGAGCCACAAATGGAGTCAGAGAACGTGGTGGGCAGACCCCATGATGGCCACCACAGTGTGCATGGCTTTGTGGGGACCCCTGCCCCTTGAGCACGAGTGGGGCCTGTGATTTACTTCTAACCCCCAGAATACGGCACAGGTGGCAGGACCTCACCGCCTCCCCCAGAAGCACATCGGACGCCCTCTGTTGCCTGCAGATCAAGGCTAGAGACTCCCTCCTGGCTGGCCTTGAAGGAGGGAGCCATCGTGCCGTGAGGCGCCTCGGGAGGGCTGCATGGAGAAGACCGCAGCCCGGCTACAGCCAGCAAGGAGCCAGGGCAGAGATGAACGCCGCCGACCCCCTGGGTGGGCTTGGGTGAGGGTCCTTCCCTGGTCCAGTGGCTAGATGAGACCTAAGTCTGGCCAAGGCCTTGATGGCCTTGAGCAGGACCCAGCCAAGCTGTGGCTGGACTCCTGACCCACAGACCCCATGAGACGACAGCGGTGTGTTCTCTAAGTCACTGAGCTTGTGGCAATAGAAAACGACCTCAATGACAACACCCCTGGGGATGGCCCGGTGATGCCAGTGGTCCCCACCAATCACACGGTGGTTCTCAGAGCTCCTCACAGACCTTCAGTTCCCCTATGCTGCCACCCCCAGCCTGATGGCACCAGAGACAAACATGCCTAAGCCTCAATTTCCTCATAGGTAAAAACAGGGACCATGATAGTGACCTTGGAGCATCGTTACAGGGATCAAATAAGGTCGTATTTGTAAGGTGCTTAGCACAGTGCCTGGCATACTGTAAGAGTTCAATAAACGCTCTTTGCTCATGCATTCCTTATCTACCTCCTGTGGTCCTGACCGTCAGGAAAGCCTCCCAGGACACCGGGCGCCTTCTTGCTTTGCACTTGGAGCACAGAGCCTTGAACACGGTAGATCAAGGAGTCTCTGGGAACAGACGACCCATCTCAGGTGGTCCTCCTGGCAACCCCGAGAGGGAGGCAGGCTGGGAATGACTTACTGCAAGAAGAAAACGGTCATGTGATGTCCGATTCTGGCCCTGTACCACCCAGGAAATGAGGGGTGCAACGAGGACCATCCCACCCCCAGACAATGTTCTTGACATTTTTTTCTCCTGCCTTAATGACAACTTCTAACAAAGTTAATTTGGCACATTTTAAGGAGAAGGGTAAGCGTTGGCCTCCAGTACAGTAATTAGGCTTAAACGGAAACAATCCACGTAAACGAAGGTAATCAGCGCGGTGCGCACCGCAGAGCTGGCCTCTCTGGAAGCGCTGGAAGGAGCAGAGCTGCCTCGGAAGAGGTAGGGCAGCGCTATTTTTTGTTTTCCTTTGTTAACTCTGTGGAATGGTGTAGCTTATGGGTGACTCCAAGGGAATGGAAATGTTGAAGTATCTGTGGGTTCAATGGCTTTTGAAGGCACAGGAAATCCCTGGTAGGTGCCAAAGAGGGGGCTTCTAGACAGCCGCCAGCCCCTCAGTGCACCCCGGAGCTGTGGGGTGGGCAAGTGGTCTACACCCAGCCCCAAAGGGAAGGGCCAGATGTTACCTGCCAGAATACCAATTCAGGCCTGTCCCACCTCTCCTTAAAGGCCACCACAGCGGCCCTCTGACCTAGCAGGGCCCCCTCTATGTTGCATGAAGCTCTGCCCAGCAGGGGGAGGTGGGTGTCCAGGGCAGGGAGACCACTGGGTAGTCCCGGAATGCATGGGAGTCCACACAGCTGCAAGCGGCTGTCTCTCAGCAAGTCTCAAGAGCCCTTCCTCTGTCTCTTGGGTTGGGGGTGAGAGATTGATATTTGTTTTGGGGTTGGAGTAGATTCTTCACCCCTCCCTGTGGTGATACTGAAGGAGGGATGTATCCATCAGTGGTGGGGTCACGTGGTCCAGGATTTTAAATTTACTTCACTCCTCACTAACGGGGGATTTCAAAATAATGGGGGTAACAGTGACAGGAGTCATACTCACTGTCATTTCAAGTGCATTTTAATTAATATATATGTGTGTGTGTGTGTGTGTGTGTGTGTGTGTGTGTGTGTGTGAGATGAGGTGACAGCTTCAGGGTATTCAAAGCCAGGATTAGGAGTCAATTTGGTTCCATAGGAATCAACTGACACCAGCCTCTGATACGAACACCCCCCACAGTCAGCCCAGCTCCTTCTCCTCTGCTGGATTCTCCCTTTCCCCTGCCATTGAGCAGGCACTGAAACTTCAGAGTGCATGCTGTACCACTGTGGACGTCCCAGGCCCTGGTGTGATTCCCCGCACTCAAAAAAAAAAAAAAAAATCCCTTTACAGAAACTTCTTTTTTCACATCAACCCATGGCATTTGACTCAATTTAAATATTTGCAGTACTGGTTATTTAAAAAAAAAAAAAATGAAAGCACCATTTTTTTAGGAAGGGAAAAAAGGGAATATTTGCAATGCAAACGTCAAACGAAAAAAAACTCCCCAGACCTCACTGGATTCTATCACTGAGAATAGAGTCTTCGGATGTAGCAAAGTATTAGATATCCATGAGAGCAAAGTGCTCTCTCTCTGAAGTCACCTAGCACCTGTGACGGCCTCCTGCTCACCAGCTGATCATCTGTACCTCGACTTTACAAAGCAGATCCCAACAGAAGCCCACATTTATAGGTGAAGAGCCAAAGTCAAGGTGAAGTCCTATTTCCAAATTCACACGGGGGTGATGGAGATGGGGAACAGGGCAGGCCTTCAACCCTATAGCTATGTCCTGACTGTAATGTGGGGCCCAGGAGGGTCCTGAGGCGTCTTGGGGATGGAGAAAACTGAGCTGTACCAGGTGCACCAATTACCTGCATGTTTTGTCCCTCAAAGCTGTACTAAACAGTTCTTGTGAAGGTGTCCAAAGCTCAGTTATGGCTGCCGGACTGATCGTGCTCTCTGGGAAGAGGGAGTCTGCTAACCAAGACACCGTGGGCTAAGGTCTAACTTCTCTCTTGCTTCCATCTGATATTCATGGCTGAGTGTCGCATTAGTTTGCCTCCTGCCTTTTCCTTATGATTTCTCAAATGTACCAAGCGCAGGGCCTTTGCATGTACTGACACAGTCCTCCTCTTTATTCAGGTTTCTCTTTAATGACTCACTGTACGTAGGAAGGACTCAGAAAAAAATGTGTTGAATGAGTGAAAGAGTCCTGTCTGGTTAGTGTCTTATATATTAGTTGGATCTCCTCTAGAGGCTGTATGTCCCTAACGAGAGGCAGTATCTCGCTCACCCTTGCTTCCTCCTAGCCCTGGGGCCAGGAATAAGGGCAGTACAGGGCTGAGACAGCAACTAAGGACATCATGGTCAGAAAGTGCTGTCTGGATTCTATGATGGAGGATCCAGGGCCCGTCTAGGCTTAGCATTATTGATTTGCCTGTGTACCAAAAGCTTGGGGCGCCAAGAAAAAACCCTAACCCTTGTGACCACCAAGCCAAGTCAGGCACCACCCTCACTTGACCCAAAAGGGAGGATCGTGCTCTGGGGACACTGGGGTCCTGTCAGAGGAGCCAGGTCTGCATGCTGGCCAAGGGCTGAACACCACAGTGGGGCCCAAGGTCCTACCCTAGAGGCCTGAGAGAAAGCTAGATAGACAGGGCAGATCAGGGCAGTGCTGGCCAGTCCTCAGGGACCCGGCCACTAACTGGCATGGCAGCAGATGCCAATGGGTCCCAGTGTCCCAGCTGCACCTGGTCCTAGCAGCTCCCTGATCCTGGACAGATCTTCATGGCCCATGTGGGCAAGGACAACTGCTTTAGTCCTCAGCACAGCCTTAATGGCCTTAATGGACATCACTGCCCAGCACTGTGGCTCGAGCAGAAAGACACAGAAGCTCAGGGGAGTGGCCATTTGTCCCACAGTTCTCCCAGAACTGGAAGCAGAAGTAGAACTGGCCTCACATAACTTACAATGGGCCACTCTGATGTGACATTTTATGCAGGAAGCCTGACCACTCCTAGATTCCAGGAACCAACGTGGATGTATTCTAGGCCACAGGTCCTGGGTCTTTCTACAGAACCCTGCTCCTGGGGCCCACCTGACACAGAAATGGGGGAGGCACAGCACCATGTGTCCTATGGATGCTGCTGTCTAGGGCCACTAACCTGGGGGAGGGGGCCTCCAGGGCATTGCCCCTGTGGCTCCCTGGAGGAGCAGGGGGCTCCAAGGCCCACCTTCCTCTCTGGCAGTCTCCTTTGCGACTGGCAGATCTCAGGTGGGACGGCACCAGCAGGGGGCAGCCTCTTCAACTGGGGAACAAGCCGACTGAAACTACTGATGGGTCTTTAGAATTAAGTGCACTAAAAACTTGACCCTTTGTATAACACTACTTCAGTGACCCAAGTGCTTCTCCTACCTCCTGAGATTGTCACCACAACCTTGGTGGCCAGGATCACTGCCTCACTGTCAAGGTGAGGAAGGAAACCTGGGGAGAAAGAGGTTTTTGCTCCAAACTCAGGCTGGTGAGCAGCACAGGAAAGGAGAGCCCTCAGTTTTCACTCCAAGTCCAGGCAGCCTGCCTCACACCCACAAGAGTGAGGAAGAAAGAACCAGCCCTGCACCGCCCCAACAGCAGTCCTTTCTTTCCAGATTATTAAACCAAAGAGCATTCTGCTTCTTGGAGATTCTTCCCCTCATGACCCAGTGACTACACAACCGAAGAGGGTTTTCATCATTATTACTAAAGCAGTCCGTCTAGCTCCTGCCCCATTCTTTACAAATGAACACAGAGGGACAAATGCATTTATTTACCTGTGCTCCCCCTTGGCGCTGGGAGCAGGTGGCCCAGGCTTCCAGGTCCCTCCTGCCCTGGTTCTTGGCTGCAAGCTCCCGAAACATCTCCAAATGCCCCAGATCTGCGAGGTCGCCAGGCAAAGCAGCCCAACTCTGAACAAGCCCAGGCAAGCCCAGGCAGGGCCTCTGCTCCATCCTCCCTCCTGCTCACACGGTCGGGCTCCGGGACAGGAGAAGTGTCTCTCCAACCCGGGACGTGGAGAGCTGGGCTTGTTTCAAACCGACGGCGCGCGAGCGAGCGCGCGCGGCAGCAGCTCCTTCACCTGAAAAGAAAAAGGGACCAGGTGGGCGAAAGGCGAGGCGAGTGAGGGCGGCGCCTGCGTGCGCAGGATCCTCGCCCTGGCGCTGCCTGAGCCCGGGCTCCGTTGGTGGAGCGCAGCGGCTGCGGCTGCGAGCTGGCCAAGGCCACCCGCGCCGAGGCCGGCCGCACAGCAGGAAGACTGCACGCGGCCGGCACTGGGTTCCATCCAGCCGGGCGGGCACAGGGTCGGGGGCCCAGATCTCCTCCGTCACCGCCACCCGCAGGGGTTGGAGCTTCCCAAGCAGAGGGCGCAGAGGGCGCAGTGCCCTGGCCTCCGCTTGCAGCCGGGTCCCAGGGCGCGTCTCCCAGAGCCGCTGTCCCAGGCTCCCCGGCCATCGCTGCCCTTCCGGGGACTCTTCGCCTCTCCGCGATGGAACCGAAACGGGGCTGGGCCGAGGGGACCTGTAAAAAAGCAAACGGAAACCAGGGTCGCTGGCCGCGACGCCCTGCCCGCGGGCCTCTCCTGGGGAGAGGGAAGAAGAAGAAACCGGGCGCTCGTGCGGGGAGTGTCCGGAGTCTGGACCTATCGTTTCTGCGACATTGCCAACCCGGAAAGCTCGGAGGTCCCACGCAGCCCGAACTCAAGAAAAGGGAAAGGACTTCTAGTGCCAAGAACCGGCACCCCGCCGCGGCCACCGCCCGCCATGCCTGAACCGCGCTCCGGCTCACCTCGCCCCCAAGTCCCGGCGCTGCCAGCCAAACGGGAGATCCCGGTCTGCGCGTCTTGGGGCGCGGGTCTGTGCCCTGGGCGCCAGCCCAGGGAGGTGGGCGGGCAACTCGGCCGGCGCGTGGCGCTCGGGAGCAGGGTGCGGCAGGGGCAGGGGACAGTGCATGGGGCAGGGCTCTGCTCAGCACGAGTAAGGGGCATAGGCTTCCGTACTGGCCTTGAAAGTTCCCGGAGACACTAACTAGACGCGGGTCCCGAGCTGCCGGAGTTGGAGCAGCCAGCAAGGCTCGTGCCTCTTATTTCTAGCTGTTCCCACGCTGTCCTGTGTGTCTGGCCGGTCGCCCTCGTGGTTGGCAGGCGAGCTCATGGGGGAACAGCCCCGAGGACCTCCCTCCGCTGGGGGCAAGGGGCACCCCACCGCAGTCTTGCTCCCAACCGTTGTGGATCTCGCCCAGTCGGTCCCTATCCAGACCCCAGCACCATGCTGGGTCAAGCTGCTCTCAGACCCACTGCACCCAGGCACTACGCGGGACAGAGTCGCCCTGGAGGTTTTACAGAAGTCCCTTCACGAGAAGCAAACCCTCCTCCTTCCAGGTTCAGTCACACACACTCCCTCCCAGCGCCCCCCACCCCATCAGATACACAGCTACAGCAGGACTCTGCAACCTGCCCAAGATGCCTCCATCAGAACACAACTGCAGGGTCCTTGGCCTCATGAGGCAAAAGCTCCCTGAACTGAGAGGAAGAGGCTCACTTCTGCACTGGACAAAATGGCTCACTGTGGAGACAACAGGGGAGCAGCTGCCTGGGTGTGCAATCACATTTGGGCCTCCTGGAGTAGCCAGTGAAGGCCAGGTGTGGACGCCCCCATCCCTCAGACAGGATGCTGAGCCTGCTTGGAGTCCCTGTTGCCCAGAGTGCTCCAGGGATGCCAGAACACTCCTAGAGCAGGGAGCCCACAGCAGGTGGATGGCTGCAGGCCAGGCCTACCTTTCCCACACCTGCAGAGAAAGGTGGAGGGTGCAGTTCCACACACCCACCCAAACCTCAGGGTTGCCTGGCTTTTGAAGGTCCTCAAAGACTCAGGAGGATAAAATGAGGCCAACAGGCCCTGGAGGCAGCACTCACTCGGCAAGGGAAAGGCCTGCTTTTATGGTCAGCCAAAAGTAGGTTCTGATCCTGAGTCACTGCGCGACCTTGGGCAGGAATAATCTAACAGCCAGGGAGAGTGAAGTGCTCATGGAGGGCCAGGTGTCCGCCTAGCCCGCCCCTGAGCAATTGCATCAAATCTTCCAGAGAGCCCTCTGAGCTATGTACTAGTTACGCCCCACGCACAGGTGAGGGAATCGAGGCCCAGAGGATTGAAACTTGGCCACCATCACAAGGAGGAGAGTGCCGTAGAACCAGGATCCAAAAGCATGCTTATCAGACCCCCAGCCCTCCTCCGTAAGCACCCCAACCTAACAGATGGCTCAGCCACTCAGAGCTTGTGTCCTCATGTAGACAGACAGCATCAGGCTCACAATAAATACTGTAGAATGAGTGACTAGCACCCCCCATGGTTGTAAAGACCACACTAGACACTGCCAGTACACAGCAGGCACCCTCATGCCTTCAGCTGCTCATCTAATGCTCCTCTGGGAGCAAAACTGCATCCCAGGCCTTGGGGAGCCTTAGTTCCCAGCTCCATGTGGACAGACACTTGGGAACACTGCTGGCTCCGCACCTCTGCTCTCAATGGCTTTTTTTCTTGCTTTCCTTTGAGAGTCCCAAAAATGCCTTAACCTGGGCAGTTAACAGTTGAATAAATATACTTTGGACACACCAGACTGTTTATTTATAAATATAGACTCTGTCAACCAGAGAATGGAAATAATCCCACTCTTGTTCATTTTTCCACACCAACAGTTCACATCAGTAGATCTTTTTTTTCCTCCTTTTTGCATTGTTGTATAAACAAGGCCTCTTTCTGCCAAAATGCTGTCCCTGGACCACTGTGCATGAGCGCCCAGCCCATCCGCAATTTCCTCTAGACCCACCTAGACCCATGCACCTGTAGCTCAGGGCTCTGCTCACAGGCTGTGGCACGGGAGGGCTCTGGAGAAAGGGAACTGCAGAGGAGGCACCAACCAGTGTCAGCTAGCCCCTTGGGAGCAGCTGCCCATGTCCCCAGATACCAATGCAGCACTCTCCCCCAGATAACCGTGGGGTCTCCAGCTTAACCACCGAGGCTCCAAGTCGCTGGTGGCTGCCTGGCTGTCCTCCCTCCCTGAGATCATCTCTTCATCTCAAATGAGAAAGACAAACTGATGAAGTGCGGGGGAAACTTTCAGTTTCAAGTCAATAGGAAAACCCAGCGAGGAGCCCAAGGAGAAGTGACCCCCAGTGGGCCTGTGCAGGGATCTTGTCCAAGAGTGAGGATGGCAATGCTCCAGAATGAGATGACAGTGGTGGTTGCACAACTTTGTGAATCGCCTGCAGCCTGCTGAAGTGTACACTTCAAAAGCTGAGGTTAAGAGCAAGCTGATCACAGTAAAAAGAGGAGATAAGGAAGCCGCCGACCCCATTCTCCCTTATTGGCTGGAAATACTTGGCACGATCAGCTGGTCACGGGGGAAAACCCTCTAACTCCCCTAACTTAGCAGTTCTCACCTTGGTGTGGGTAAGACAGGAAGCTGATCCCTGCAGGGGCCGGTGATGGCAGTGCTGAGGCCCAGGCAGCCTGACTCTTACATTCCTCTCAGACACGTCTACAGGGTCACAGGGGCCTGAACCGGACCCTGCAGAAGAAAGGTTTCTTGGGGAGGGGCTTTCTTCACTGTGTCCCTGACATCAGAGAATTTCATGATTGAGTGATGGTCAAGTCAGCGCATGTGCATGGGGCGGCGGTGGGGGCGGCTACAGGAGGCCCCAGAGAACCTATCTAGTGCTTCCAAGGCTCCAGCCATGAGCAAAGCCCCATCTTTGAAGAAGGAAGCCCAACTGGACTTGGGTTGGTGAAGAAATCCCCACTGGATTAAAAACAGCAAATCAATGTAAGAAGTCAAAATCCCGGACAAAGGGAAGTGTTCCTTTTGTTTAGCCACTGGTGGGCATTTTAGCTCCACATGGCCCTTTTAAGGTTCTGCTAATTTTCTAGTTCCCGAGTTGTAATCTTTGGCTCATGCGTCAAATCAACCTTTGTCCTAATTAAGGATGGAGGGTCAACTAAGGGGCTGTCTGTCGATGGAGCTGAGTAATTAGTCTCTGTACATACATATCATTAACTACCACTGTCAAGTCCTTCTGCATGGCCCGCACTGCCAAGTGCTTTACGACTTCACTGCATTTGATAAGTCTGCAGCAAGAAGCTCTGGTATATGCCCCCTTGGCAGAAGATAAGCTGAGCTTCAGAAGAGCCTCAGTCCCACCTTCTCGTCTAAAGCATACAGGTTTGAAAGCAGAAGACACGGCACCTGGATCCCTGCTGGTCCCAAAGGGCAGGAAAGTCCACTACTCCCCTCTGCCCTAGCTCATGTGCCATTTGACGAAGGTGGCAGGCACGGGGGAAACTCCTCCACTTCTATCGAAATGCACAAAAACTCCCAGACCTCAAGTCCAGAGAAGTGAGAAACGCCAGGGTCTGCTTATTGCTTCCATGCTTCGAGAAGTACATAGAACCGGAACATTCCATTTCTCCAGCTTAAAGTGAACATGAGGCCAGCTTCCTTTTAACAGTCACACTATCAGGGAATCCAAGCTCCAGCCCTAAGGATTGTGGGAAGGGCATTTTCCCTTTCCAAGGATCTCATCCTACAAAAAGCTCCAGGAGCCCCAGCTAACCCCACGTCTGCCAATCACTGTTCCGAGGGGAGCCACTAGCCACGTGTGACGATGATTAATTAAGACCCGGAATTCCGCTCCTCCCATTAGCCATGCGGCTAGTGACTGCCATATTGGACAACACAGCTCCAAAGTCTTTCCTGAAGCTGTAGCCCCAGGAAGTGGCCCACTGGGCTGCGTTACGTGCAGACTTGCTGCCTCTGGTTGTTGAAGGGCCTCATGGAAGTCCCGGGATACCTCTCCTCACCTGCCATGTTTGCTCACACTTCTTACTTCGTGAAGTAGAGGAGGCATTGATAGGGGTCTCCCAGATGATCCACTTTTGGGGTCTGATCCCCAGACAAATGCAACCTATGAAGGCTTTTCTTGGGTTACCAAATTATCCTTGGACCTAGTTTTAGTTCAGCCAGCCAATGTGTTTTGATTATACTGCAGCAGTCCCAATCAGAACCCGAGACTGGGGTTTGGAAGTCTGATGGGTTATTGGTGCCAGAGAGCCTGGTGCTGAAGGCCTGGCCCTTCACAGTAGGACCAGCACTAGATCTGGCTTCCGCCATAAGCCCAGGGCCTGGAGGCTGAGTCTGCAATCACTGGAGACAAGACAGGCCCCAGCCTGCAGCGATGCTTGCTTCTGTTTTACTTACGACCTATCAAGGTCATAAGTGACCTCATATTGTTACATCCAAATGTGGACTTGACCCAGAGGGCTCCTTCCTGGTCTCTGGGACTCTTAATGCCCCTTTCCTTTGGCCCCTGGATTCCACTCTCCCTGGGTTCTTACCTGGTCACTCCAGCCTCCTCTGCTGGTTCCAACCCTGGTCTCCTTCCTCTTTGTGCTGGAGGACCCCAGGGCTTGACCATGGACCCTTGTTGTCCCTACATCCCCTCCTTGGCTTTCAGTAACTCCTGAACTGATGACCACATTAATATCTGCATTCACCTCTCCCTTGACCTCTCACTCTAATAGTCAGTGACCAGTTCAAAGTCGCGGGGATGTGTAAAAGGAATCTCAAACACCCAAGTCCTAAGCTAAAGGCCCAGTTGCACCCTGCCTACTCAGAGTGCTCCTCTGAAGCTTTCCCCATCTCCAAAGCTGGCAGCTCCCTCCTTCTAACCCTCTGGCCAATCACCTAGAGGCCACGCTGGACTCTGTCCTACCTGACATCATGTCGATCAGCAACACTTGCTGTTCCACCTCCAAACACACCCAGAATCCAAACACCGCTGCCTATTCTATCCTGTTCACTTTTCTGCACTTGTCCAAGCCACTGTGGTGCTTCCCAACTGGTTTCACTTGGCTCTTGGTCCCCAAAGACTGCGCTCGACACAGCATCTAGGAGTTATGTTTGCAGAAGGAAATCAGATCACATCACTTCTCTGCTCAGAACCTTCCAGTGGCTCCTCATCTCAGACTCAAAGTCAAGTCCTTTATGTCTTAACTACACTCTGTTCCAGCCTCCTGGCTGATCTTAGTTTATACCAGGCGTGATCTGGCCTCAGGGCCTTTGCACTTGCTGTCTTCCCTGCCTGGGCTGCTTTCTTCAAGACACTCACATGCCTTTGACCCCCTTCCTCCTGGTCTCTGATTGAATGCCACCTGAAGGACAAGGACTTCCTACCTCACTCAGTCCTCTCTCCTTGCTCTATTGCCCATGTGTTTGCCATCCGACATTCTAACAACCTATGTTTATTGTCTGTCTCTCCCAACCT